AATGTGTAGTGAATGCAGAGAGTGTGTTAGTGTGTAGTGGATGCAGGGTGTGTGTTAGTGTAGTGAATGCAGAGAGTGTGTTAGTGTGTAGCGGATGCAGAGTGTGTGTTAGTGTAGTGAATGCAGAGAGTGTGTTAATGTGTAGTGAATGCAGAGAGTGTGTTAGTGTGTAGTGGATGCAGAGTGTGTGAGTTAGTGTAGTGAATGCAGAGAGTGTGTTAGTGTGTAGCGGATGCAGAGTATGTGTTAGTGTAGTAAATGCAGAGTGTGTGTTAGTGTGTAGCGGATACAGAGTGTGTGTTAGTGTAGTGAATGCAGAGAGTGTGTTAGTGTGTGGTGGATGCAGAGTGTGTGTTAATGTGTAGCGGATTCAGAGTGTGTGTTAGTGTAGTGAATGCAGAGTGTGTTAATGTGTAGCGAAACAGAGTGTGTGTCAGTATAGTGGATGCAGTGAGTGTGTTAGTGTGTAGTGTATGCAGAGTGTATGTTGTATTAGTGTATGCAGTGTGTGTGTTGTGTTAGTGTATGCATAGTGTGTGTTGTGTTAGTGTATGCGGTGTGTGTGGTGTGTTAGTGTATGCGGTGTGTGTGTTGTATTAGTGTATGCGGTGTGTGTGTTGTGTTAGTGTATGCAGTGTGTGTGTTTTGTTAGTGTATGCAGTGGGTGTGTTGTGTTAGTGTATGCAGTGTGTGTGTGTTGTGTTAGTGTATGCAGTGTGTGTTGTGTTAGTGTATACAGTGTGTGTGTTGTGTTAGTGTATGCAGTGTGTGTTGTGTTAGTGTATGCAGTGTGTGTGTTGTGTTAGTGTATGCAGTGTGTGTTGTGTAAATGTGCAATCTGGGGGGGAGGGGGAGGAAGGGGCATTTTAACATTAATTTTTAATTAATTTAATTAAATGTTTCTCCCCCCTCCCTGCTTACCTGTGTCCATAGAGGGTGGAGATTCCATCCGTGGTGGTCCGGTGGGGGGCCCCCCGGCTCCCTGTTACCGTCCGCAGAGGGGGCCCAGGCAGCACACAGCTTCTCCTCTTCTAATAACTCTTGCGAGACCCGCGGAGCGTTGCCATGGTAACCGGGTCTCACGAGAGTTATGAGAAGACAGGAGGAGAAGCTGTGTGCTGCCTGGGCGCCCTCTGCGGTAACAGGGAGCAGGTTATCGTTATCTATGTGTGCAGAGAAACAAAGTGGGGCCCAGGACTGCCAGAGCAGTCCGGGCCCCCCAGGGCCGCCGGGCCCGTGGCAACAGTCACGGTTGTCACCCCCTGATGGCGGCCCTGGAGTCACTTTTAACTAGGCATTTGTTATGCCTTTTAATATAGCAGCTAGCTTTTTCCTAGGCCTCTGTTGGGCCTTTTATTGTAGCACACCTGAGTGTGGTGAGATAGCTCAGTGGGCTAATACTTCATCAGCAGAATCTGTTTGTCCCTTGGGGCTCACCAGTTCAATTTCCTGCAGGGTTGATTCAGTCCTTAATGTAAATAAAATGTGTGCCATTAAATTGGGTAGGGGTGGCATCCCCAGGATACACTTGGAAACCCGAAAATATCTGAATGTCTATTTCCTGATTCAAGACTTTGCAATAATTGTTTCTAGTGCTTTTTAATACACTTGCTGGTTCACTTATTCTGTGTGCTTTTTAATTTCATTATTATATGCCTCTATGTTGTTATGTATTCACTAAATTTATTCTCCTATTTCTATGTCTCTACTTGGTAATAGGCTATTCGCTTGACAGGCGCACAGTCGGATTTGCCGGCATATGCGCTAACCTTACCCAAACCCCCATTAAAACACGGACACAGGTTATACTGTTGGAAATAATTTGTCCACAGCTTTATTAAATTATTAATAAATAATTAAGGAATAACAAATGGGGTCGTTGCCAACAAATCTTAATAATGTTAACCTCCCCCATATACATAACATACCCCTAGCAATGACCCCACAATAATAACAATAGATAACAATCTAAATAACATGTTAACACAGAAACTGGCCGTCCAATTTGACCACATTTCCACCAGGTTAAATAGTAGGGGTGTACCGAGACACCGCTACCCACCATATCCATTGTAGGGGTGTACCAAGACACCGCTACCCACCATATCCATTGTAGGGGTGTACCAAGACACCACTACCCACCATATCCATTGTAGGGGTGTACCAAGACACCGCTACCCACCAGTTCCAGTGTAGGGTGTACCAAGACACCACCACACCCCCAGGTTCGGAGCCACCGACGGGTTCGAACCTACCAACCACGTGCAACACTGCCCAATCCACACTAAACCTCAGGATGCCCACTTTCTCCTCCATCTACCCTCCGATTTAACCAGGCCATTCCCCACCACAGCTCAGGACTTGACACCTAAAGCTCCTGAGCGACCTCCACCACACCGGAATAAGGCCTGTTGAATGCCTTCCTGAAGGCCCAATTTAAACAGATCACACCTTACATCCGAAAATGTACCCCATCCCACCTGGAGTACCCAGGGAGCTTTCCTCCCAATTCGTTGTGTCTCACTGTTACACCGCCCCCACATCTGATAAATGCCGCCATCAATTTTTTATTAAGTCGTCCTCGACACCGAGCTACCACGGCCGGGTACGTAGTATGTCTCCAATGTAACCAAGGAACCATCTCGGACCGCACCACCACCACCACCACACCCGTGGCCAGCTCCCATAGCTGGTCCACCTCCCTCTGCCTCCACCTGATCAATTCCTTTTCCGGGACCATGCCAATATCCAGAATGTCCTGGAAAGTACCCCTTGTTACCTCCTGGAAAAATTTCTCCCCTAATGTCTTGCCACCAAAATCCCCGAAAAACAAAACCACTCCTGCTCCACCAATTTTAAAGGAAAGCCCAGTTACGTTTGAACTGAAACGCGGCTCCCATCTGTGCCCCTTAAATATAAGAATGACCCACCAACCATGTCACCAAACCTGAAACGAAAGTAATTAGCGACAAGGCATAGCCCCAAACACAAACCCATACGTCCATAGCCATTAAACCAAATAGACTGGCCTGAAATAGGACTTAAACCATACTGACTCCCACCTGCCTAAACGTTTCCCTAGGTCCTCACTTAAAACCAGGTGGGGTGCCTCTGTTACTGGGAAGAATGGGTCCCAAAGTGCCCGGGATCCAAACCCAACATTGTCAAACCCCTTCGAACAAACACCTGCGGGAATTGAATCGAGACAGCACCGATCTGTCCCCTTTTACCAGTAAGCCACCCGGGATGTCCGGGCAAAGCTCCAAGTAGCATGATGCACTTAACACCGGACGTACCCCTGACCCCGGCAGGGAATATAGCTTTACCAAACCTCCTTTACCAGACACATTCGTTCTTGAACAACCCTACTGAATCGTTACCTTAACCGACTAAGGTTCGACAACCGAGTGTAGAACTCCCCAACACCTGCCCGAAGGCACTCACCAGTTCCCCAATCCAAATTGCCCCAAGCCTCCGAGAAGGCCACCGCAAGCAAACTCACTGCAAAAGTAGGGAGATATTTCATATCTCTCAGTAAGACTTCCTCCCAATCAGTCAGTTTAAACCCTAACGACAATGCCACCATGCTCCTGTCCATTGCTGATGGAGCTAACGCTGAACAAACAAACGGCTTAGGAACCACAGCAAGGTATCCCTTCGCCCCTCCTTTGACCGGGCCCCCACAGTGAAACCAACCGCCTTGTCCCACATATCTCAAACGTTCACATAGGCAGTCCCTGTGCCCGGTGCCATAGGATTCTGTATCAATCCTCCAAGCATGGCGTCTTGAGCTGCCACATTTCCTCCAGACTGGACAGTCCCTCCTCCCGCGCCCCCTGGGGCCGCCATTCGCAGCTTGTCCCCTTGTGTGCGAGCCAAGTAACCAGCCCCTACCTTCCGCCAACCAGGCACGTGGCAGGCCTGCACCCGATACCTGAACAGTGATACGAATCGCCGCCATCGGCGTACCTCCTGAACCGAGGACCCAGCTGGATGGTAAACCACATGAACCCCGCCGTATTGTGCGTGAATTATGACTTTTCATCCCTTAATCCTTCACCTTTTAGAGCCACAGCCACTCCCAATTGAAATAACTCAAAAGATGCCAACTTCGAATAAGAGGACTTACCTTTCATGCCTCCCACCACCGCTCTGCGCACCACTTGCCTTCCAGGTATGCCCCGGGATCTATGTTCCCAGAGGTATCTGTGAACAACTCGATACCACCCGCAAAGGCTCCACAAGTAGCCTTCGCCATGAAATGGCTACCGACCCAGTCCTCGCGACTAACCCGACATGCAACTTGAAACTGCCTTATGAACAACTGCGATTTCTCAGTGACCTTCTTGGACTTGCGAACCTTCAGCCTGAACTCCCGAAGTGCAGTCAACTGAACCCCAGGCAATCGACACTCTCCTACCACCGAAACAATTTCCAGTCCAAGCAAAGACGTGCGGTAGGATTCCCGTGACCGTAAGGTATGTCCGCAACGGCCCGGCCCAGCCGAGCCCACACAGCAAGCTATCTTACAGATAATGTACTAAGGAACCCCTTTCTGATTCCTTTTTCACCTCCCACTCCCAGACGGATCCAACTTCCCGAGTAGGAACATGAATGGAACTGCCCCTTGGCAAGTAGAGGTTACCAATAGGAACCTGCAGACATGCAACCCAAAAGATGGAAGGGTCGCCAATAATCGAACGCGTCCTGTTCCCCCAAACCAACTCGACGGCAAGGCCGAATGATGCCAACGATACAGAACAGTTCCGCGGCGATGTCCTCATTTACCGATGCCCCTTTTGGGTGCGATAAGTTTTGTATTGGACAGAATTTGCCCGCCCATTTCTAGGGGACCACCCCCCATGGAGA